ACACCCATTAACGTAAACTACGCCAGAGCGCGTACACCCCTCACGCACCGGAAATATGATAAAATATATAATATATAAAAAATGATATAAATACTGTTCGGTTTCTGGCACAAACCGATCGTTTCGTGTCTTAGGACATCAATGTGTCGTCACGAGCCGCAGGGTTTAATTTGGATTTGTCTGTGCATGTTTTTTTTACTCTCGTAGATTTTGTTACTATTGCCATGCATTATACGACTGATAGACTGCAACGGCTGGAGTTAAAAATCATCAAATGTGTTCTACTGAAGAAACAAAGTCACCTACATCTTGGATGCCCTGTGGGTAAGCAGATAAACATCAAATTTTCATTTTTGGGTGAACTATCCCTTTAATGTACAAACATTTAGTTTAATAGAACTGGCACAGTCATGTTGTTTGCATGCTTGTAAGTAAAGACCAGAGATCGAAAACAACATAAAACAAGCAAGCAAACAACATGTCGAGTGAGTTTTTTTGTTTTGCAATGCAAGCTACAGAGACGGATGCTTGCCTCGGTGTCATATGAGAGAAGAGACCGGGGCAAGTTGTCACTGTGGCAGAACTTTGGCTATAACGTTCTGGCAAGGTTATGAACAAACGTCCTTCCAGTAACGCTAGGAGAATGTTCATTCAAAGTTGTCTGGTCTAATAATGTAATGAAAACATTGGCAAAAAAAAGTGTTATTTATACGTTGTTCATAGAACGTTTTTTTCTGAAACATTTTAGTTGGCTGTTCATCTGTTTTTTAAATGTTAACGGTTTCAGAACGTTCTGAGAACGCTAATAGAATGTTCATTCAAAGTTATCTGGTATTTAATAACGTTAGCACAAAAATATTATTTTATATGTTTTTCATAACGTTTTTTAGGAAACATTTTAGTTTGATGTTCTGTGTGAACAGGTAATGTACCCATAAAGTAAAAAAAAAAAAAAAAAATTAAAATAAAAAAAACTGGACATTTCAAACATTCAGAAAACATCCAGATATAACGTTTTCATAACTTCAAGGGAACATTAGCAGAGTGTTCTTAGAACATATTTTTGTTTGATGGGTAGCTGTAGGTTTTGATTCAAAAGTCCGATAGTTTTTAGCAGTGGTTTTGTATGTGGATTTCAAACACCTTTTTAAAAATCCCAATATCATATTTGTCATTTTTGTGTCTGTGTTTTCAAGTTAGGCAGGCTGTCACAAGGTTATTAATTTCTAAAAATGACTATTTTAATAATCATGATATTTGTTGACCATGAATAGCGCTGTTCCATGACTTTTAGGCTAAGAAGCCAAAAATAGGGTTTTTAATTGGCTGTGTTCGCTGTGACAACTTACCCCATCTAATGTGACAGCATGTCACCATGTTCAGTGAGATGTATTTTTTTTCCTGAGCAATAACGATGAAAATATTCAATAGCTTTTTTGTAGGCAAGACTTTAATGTATGTGGAAGTAAATTTCAAAATAAACCTATACCTTGATAAATATTTAATTTACTAGAGTCAAAAGTGTGTCATCTAGTCCAAGTTGTCCATATATGACAGGATTCTGACTGATGCAACAGTCTGTCGTCATGCACAGAAATGCACTGTGCAGTGCTTTTTTCAGAGACTTTTTCACGTTAAACCTTTGAAATTGTATCGCGTGTGTCATTAGTTTTAAGTTACGAACCTTTCATAGTTGAAGTGTGTGAGTAAATGCGACTCTAATCTGTTTTGGAAATAAGATTACACTGCATTGTACAGTTCTCAACGTGTGTAAGCCCGACTTTGGACAGATTAAGGCTGCTCAATGGCTTTATGTGTTCCTGCCACAGTGACGGTTAACTGGGATTTTGAGCCATGAGCTGCATTAATCCCTGTGTGTGTACTGATACGGGATCTGGATACATCCTATTATGACAGACAGATTTCACTTCCAACAGCAGAGTGACATAAGGCTGTGATCAATATTCAGTTTTGGTGAACCTTGATCTTTCTCTCACGTTTCAGATCACTGATATACTAGAGAAACTTTTATGACTATTTGGGATCTTGATCGGGTTTCAGGCATAATGTGTTACATTTTTATACTGTAACCAATATGTTGTCTCAAACCATTGTATAGTATTTATTGATATGTTAAATTAGCTTTATATTTTTAGTTTTCATTTTAATTTAGCTTTAAGTTTTAGTATTTTTTTGTGCTTTGTTATGTGCTTTTGTAATTTTTATTCGTTTTTTAAATATTTCTATTCAGCTTTTATTTATTTTTATTTCAGTTTTAGTTTTAGCTATTTTAGTAATTCAACTTACACATTTATTTTATCACTTCTAATTTTCTTTTAATTTTAAGTTTACATTTTTCATCAAATTGATATTTTATTTTATTTTTCAGTTACCAAAAATGTTTTAATTTTTAATAGTTTGTCAATGATAGCAACACAGTCCTTATCATAGCTGCAAAATCAGTTTAAACATATAAAGTGTCATCCTTTGATATTTAAATTTAATTGAATGAATTTATTTAATTTGAGTTTTTCCATGAACGATGATGATATTTTTGATATCTAGAGAGAATAGTGTCTGATATAATGCCGATATATTGACTTAAGATGACATGACCCCATGTTTTATAGAATATTTACTCAGAAAACAGAAACTGTATATTATCATGTCATTGTAGTGTATGTCTTGTCTTAAACTTCTTTAACTTTATAACTAAAACTGTGTTTGTGAGAGCTTTGTGTTGCACTGAAAATGAATGGGAATTGAATGTGACTTGAACCTTATGTTTGTTGATCTCTGTGCTCGGGGGACCGCTGAATGAGTTTTTTCATGCCAGTGTGACGGGAACCTGCAGTGACACTGAAACCGCTCCCCTTTATCAGATACTCACACTGCACCAGGCTCTCCAGGAGACCCCTGTACTCCAGACATGAAGCATGTGTTCTGTAGGGATTTGCAGGAGAGAGATTCCAATTAGGGAAAAAATGCCTCAAGATATTACTTCCAGGTCATGGGGTCCTTTGCTGTGACCTGGCTATAAAATCTCTTGCTGGATTCACACTGTATTTTGCTTGCGAGACTTACAGTTTTGTCAATGCATGATGCACCTTTTGCTGTTTTCATACACTGCCACCCAAAAGTTTGTGGTCAGTAAGAGTTTTTGAAAGAAATTCATGTTTTTATGCCGCAAATATGCATTAAATTGATCAAAAGTGACAGTAAATACATTTGTAAAATTACAAAAGATTTCTATTTCAAATAAATGCTGTTTGTTTGAACTTTCTATTCATCAACTGTAAGGTGTAACTGCACAAATGTTTTTAACATGTTTATTGAGCAGCAAATCAGCATATTAGAATGATTTCTGAAGGATCATGTGACACTGAAGACTGGAGAAATGATGCTGAAAATTACTGTGCTTTTGATCAAATAAATGCAGCATAGATAAGCAACTTCTTTCAAAAACATAAACAAAAATCTTGCCGACCCCAAAGTTTTGAATTTGGTTAGTGAATATTGTGAACATTTTTACACAGTTAATTTAAGCACATTTTCGTACGTTAAGCAATGTTGTTAATTTGCTATCATCCAGTCATTTTATCAACTACTGTACTTTCTATATATCAGCATCAACTATTGACCACTTTGGTCAACCGTATATCCACATTTCACATTATAGATTTTTTTTTGTTGCACATGTTGGATGTAGTTTAATAAAAGAAATCCTTAGAAAACTTTTCTGCCTTGTTTGTGTCAGTCTTAATAGATTTGACATTTTAATCTTGTTCCTCAGCCCATAAAAAGGCATGAAGAGCTGGAAATATCCATAAAACTGAAGATAATGTGTCAGACTTCACATTTATACTATTCCTGATCTTTGATGATTTTTGATGCATTCTACTACCTTGCGGAAATCATAAAGTGCCTTTTCCGCTTGAAGTTTTGTAGCTTTTAGTCTGTTGAGTGTATAATCGATATTCTAGCTTACTAAAGTTAATTTTAGCAGATATACACACATAAAAAAAAAAGACCAGAAATATTGATGACTCATCCTTGAAAATGTACAAGACTGAAAATGTCCCCTTCCTTTAAATTACAAATATCACTTACTGTTGATATCATGATGTAACAAAACTAAATCCTGTAAGGCCTGTTTGTCATTTAAAAAATAAATGCATTATGCAATATTTAATTTGTTCTTTGTGTTTTCTGCGAGCAGAAGTTCATTGAATTTGAAGATTCCCAAGAGCAAGAGAAGAAGGATTTGCAGAACCATCTGGAAAGTCTTTCATCACATTCCCGTCAGCTGGAGCTGAAGATCAAGAACTATGCTGACCAGAGTAAGAATCACCTGCTTTATTCCTTCTCATTCAGTCTGACACTTCCATGATCTGACAGTTTTTTTTTTTTTTTTTTAAACCTTCATATATGTCTTCTACATGTTATATGTCCATTAGTGGTTGACCGATATTGGTTTTTTGACAGCCGATGCCGATATCTTGGAACGCAGGCTGGCCAATGACCGATATAAAGCCGATATAATTGTATATATTTTCATTAATATTTAAGAAATTTTAAATGGAATCATTTGAAAATGGATTAAAAAATTAATTTGTAAAATAAACATACTTATACTTTAGATGACAAAGTATTTTCCACAAATAAATAAATATTTAATAAAAATATAATTAAAAAGGAAGTAAACTGTAACCAACAGAGCACTCAGTATTCTGGGAAGTTTGTGTGCATTGGGAATCATATTTTTGCAAATAAAGTCAAAATAAAAGTCCGGTGCGCCGTCAAAACGCTGTCAAAAATTGCCTCGAACGCATCGGCCAAAGAGAAAAACTTATCGACCTTGGCGAAATATCGGTCGACCACTAATGTCCATGCATCTGCTCTTAAAGACCTTCTGTTTTAGTATAAAATAGCTATAGTCCATAGTTCTGTATACTTTTGCTGTTATGTGAAGTATTGGTTTAGTGTTCTTCAAACTTATTGGCCGATGCCGATATTTGAAAAAGGCCAAATATCGGCCGATATATCGACCTTGGCGAAATATCGGTCGACCACTAATGTCCATGCATCTGCTCTTAAAGACCTTCTGTTTTAGTATAAAATAGCTATAGTCCATAGTTCTGTATACTTTTGCTGTTATGTGAAGTATTGGTTTAGTGTTCTTCACACGTGGTTCATAATAGAGTACCATCCCGTAATTTAATCTGCTCTCTCTTTTCTCAAACCATCCTACTGACCCTGTTAATGGATCGTTGATTTCCAGCAAACCCTTTTCTGAGATTTGAAATGGATATCAGTTCTACTAGAAATCACTGTGCTGAAATGAAGTATGTAGAAAGTGAATTAGCCGGTCTGATTGTGGGATGCGTTTGGCAGATCTACTGCAGGCTTAGATTTAAACCTGACAGCTAAAAGTGGATTATGTCTTTGTGCCACCTCTTAAATCAAGCCTGTTTAATATCCTCTGTGGATATTCTCTCTACAGAACTGCAAGTATTTTTAAATGCCTCACTGAAAGCATCAGCTTTGCCCACTCAAACTAGCTTTAAATCTGGTTTCAGGCCAATTCTAAGTGGCAGGCTGGCTCGCATGGTTTTTGAGTGCTGTACAGTGAACAACTGCGGGTCGTCATTGGTAATTTGGGAGTTTTCTAACCTGTTACGACGACGGCTGTGATGATTAGCCTCGTTTCTCTGTCCTCATTTATTTCAAGGCCCTTGTTCCAAGCTTGTACCTTGTGTTTACAAGACAACATTTTGCATGCAAAAGATGCCAAAATATTGTCTTTCAAAGTTTTTAAAAGCAGTTGATATAGACATTAAAAAAACTGAACTGGACTTTTTGGACTGAACTGCAATACTAAAATCTTTGCAGATTACACTTGTACTGTTGAACAAGTTAATCATTCCGAATTTCTTTAATATTTTTTTTACTCCTCCTTTCTCAGTAAGTCGATTAGAAGAGCGAGAGGCTGAACTGAAGCGCGAATATAATTCCCTTCACCTGCGGCACACAGAGGTAAGAAAGAGAGCAAATGATGATAAATGTTTTTGAGCATCAAATCAGCATATTAGAATGATTTCTGAAGGATCATGTGACACTGAAGACTGGAGTAATGATGCTGAAAATTCAACTTGGGATCCCAGGAATGAATTAAAATAGAATAGTTATTTTAATAACATTTCACAATATTAATGTTTTTACTTTATTAATTAAATGCAGCCTTGGTGAGCATAAAAGACTACCTGCTGCTCTTTAAGGCCAATTAATATGCCTGCTTTTTGTTAATTTGTTCTTCAGATGATCCACAACTACATGGAGCATGTGGAACGGATCCGGATGCAGCAGACGGGGGGAGAGACCTCTGACACAGGAACAATTGACCGAGTTCGGTAAGATGAACATGATCCTATTATCTGTGCTAAAAAGAAACCGACACCATCATGTAGTTGTTTCAAAAAGTATGCAACTCTCTAAAGGTATTTTTGCATGATTGTTTATATAAAATTAAATGACATCAGAACAAAGATTGATTGCATTCCACATTTATATTAATACATGATGCATGATGATTTTTGATTTTTTTCTCATTAAACAGGAAAGAGCGGCCCCTGTCTTTGGGAATCTTCCCCATGTCCAGCGGTGGCTCTTCACTGACGCCTGACATCCAGGGCAGAGCCGAGACTCCTGGGATGGAGGGCTGGAGATTCAATAACCTCAGTCATCAGCGCTCTAACGCCAGCCTCAAGGTACAGTAACATCACAACATCATCATATAAGAGTTTATACAGTGCTAAGACAAATGTCGAGGGAATTTACACCAGGCCATGAGAAGAAAATAACTGATATAATAGACAGATAATATGAAAGAACTCTGGGAAGAGAAGATGTTAGACAGACATTTGATGTCTTTGTTTTGTGGGCATATCCTCTGTTTTTGTAAAGGTACATGTTTGCTGGTGGATAGGGAAGAAAATATGAGCAGTGGTTGGTTGAAAGATGTTGCCACGGAAACATTAGGCAGTGATGACGCTTTTTCAAGCATCCTGGAACGTCGGCAGTGACCCATTTTATCAAATTTAAGCTTAAATTAGATTTTAGGGCTTGCGATACAGTTAAACGACTTGAGGGTCAAAGTTACTATATTAACATATATAATGATATATAACGATATCGAGTGTAATATGCAGTAATTCTGAAAATATTTTGCAGTTCATAATATGAATGGTTTGAAATGGACTCAATACTTACTGATGCTCAATTTAAGAACGTCAAATGGACCCTTTTCACATTTCCGGTGTGCGATACTGACAAAAAATATCTCTTTTTATTTTTATTGGGATTCCTTCAATAACAATAACTAAACAATATATTGCTGAGGGTGATTTGTGCTGGCACCTTGGCTGGTTTAGGCCTTTCATGGATAAATAAATATGACACTAAAACTGCCAGTAGGTGGCAGTAAGTCCCTGTCTTAATGAGTGATTCATTGAATCATTCATTCAAATGATTTGTTCAAAACGGCTGAATCATTTTTAGAAATGAAGCAAGTGATTGGGTTATTACGAATGGGTTATTGAATCATGGACTCAAATAATCTGTTCAAACACAGATTCATTCAGGAATAAAACACTGCAGTGTTGCTCTGAGACGCAAAAATGTTTGAAACTGTTTTCGTTGGTGAAACAGAAAAAAACAGACAATATTATGTCTGAAATCTAACTCACTGAATATTAATTTATTGTTTTTTGAACTGTTTAATATACACATTTGCGATCACACTCATACGCTAATATTTAGGAAAATGCCACTGTTGCTTGTGTGATATTACTTAACTATATAAATACAAAAACAAACACATACAGGGATACTTTTTGCTTTCATAACTTGAATTATAGGAGCATTTTAACTGAATTTAATATGCTTCATCATGCATATAGGCTTTTAGATTTTCAAGACATGTTTTGTTTATTTTTTGCAAAGTGAGTGATGTACTCGATAATGTCAGCTAGCATATCGTTAACACAACAATTACGATATTATCACAGACGATAAATATTGCACACCCCTACTCAGAACTGGAAGTTCTTCTGTAGTGGTGAAGAAACTACAACAAATATAATTTTTGTGTTCCCATTTGCTCCAATAGTAAAATAAAAAATCCATAATATTGTTTCTATGACTTTCCAAAAGAGGGAAAAAAATAGACATATTGTTTACGTTGGTAGGAAGAGAAAATAAATGAGAAATCCCTCAGCAATTGTATTAGAAACGCAGCAGCATTAACTGGCTTTCTGAAATGTAATGCCAATGTAACAAAATATAGTGTTCTAAACAAACTTTACATTTTTTTTTATAAGTAAAAATCTAAAAAAAAATTCACAATGTTAATAACTGTGGAAATGCATCATGTGAAAAGAGTCCATTATGCAGAACATTCATTCCATTAATGTTACAGCCATTTTTCTTTACGTGAACTGATTTGATGCTTCGACATCCACGGTCACCTGCATGAAACATGGCAACATTAAGAATCTGAAGCTCTCTTGTATGGATCGCTGCTTTAAATGTTCTCATGCATAATAATGTTACATTAGAGTTGTGTTTTCCCACCCACCAATGCTAGATCACAGCACATACACATGAGAGCGCTATTGTGTTTTGTGTTTCAAACAAATATAAGATGCCACGTCCCAATTTTCTTGTCCAAGCAGTTGGAGGCAGAGGACACTCCAAAGAAAAGGGATGGTAAGGATGTTCTGGAAGCTTGGGACTCGCTGGCAAACGACTGCAAGGTAGCAAAGGCTGTGTGCCGGCGGACAGTGTGTAGTGCAATTCACTGTTGTCCTCTAATAGTCAGAAAGTTTATTCACAGAACGTGGTTCGGTGTCTTAACTGCATGCAACTACACAGATGTAGAAAGTCCAGATTAGTAATAAATGCTAAATAAAAAAAAGAGCATGTTAACATGGAGTAATGCACAAATATTTGTAGTTATCTAGGATATAGTTGCATACAGCTAATGCATGGTGTTAATTTAGCTTTCACCGCATGTCATTTCAGTTTCACGCTGTCTTAGATTGCATTCTTCATTTGTACATTTCTAACATTGTGCTATCAATGCTGTCTTTAGTTGTAACACTTATTGTCGTTATGAATTGGTTTTAACCAGTGTTGGGGAATGTTACTTTTAAAGGGGTCATGAACTGCCTTTTTTAATTATTTTGTACTGTTCTCTGAGGTCTACTTATAATGTTATCAATATTTTTACATCAAAAACATCATGATTTAGAAGTAATAGGCTGTTTTCTGTCCTGTTTTTACCCCTCTCATCAGAACGCTCCGTTTGAATGGCGGATTGTAGACTCAGAAGTAAACGCCCACTGCTGTGATTGGCTAACAGTTGTGTATGTTTGACAGCCTACATCCTACACAGATGGATGCTGCTGTGATTTAGGTTAAAAATGTGTAAATACTCAGTGCATATCAAACGATAACAGACAAAGCTATAGTGACCATGTAATGAAAACAGTTACTCACACTTGTGTGGTGCGACATTACTGTCGGATCCAATATAGTCGGCACAGCATCGTCTTTTAGTTTCACTCTCTCTGAATATCGCACGCCGATTTGTGCATTGTTTGTAAACTAATCCGCGATAAAATAAACAAAGGACCAAGTTCTTACTGACACGGTCTGGAACTTCCTTAAAAATAAAGTTAATAAAAAAAAATCTTTAAAAATAAAGTTCATCAAATACAGTTTATTGTTTTCTGCGTAGACCTGCATTCGCCTCTCTTGTTATTCACACTACATGCGTGAATTGGTGGGCGGGGCTAAACAGGCAGTGATGTAGAAGCAGGCATTGATCATCTTCTGTGGAGGCAGTGCTTATCCACACTATTACATCATAAAGCAGAACATTACTCAAGCTGTCATTTTGGCAGACTGGCTTCAATATAAGCTGCTTTTAGACTAACGAGAAAGTTTTGAGTTCTGAAACTTACAGTACAATGACCTCTTATGTGTCAAAAGATCAAAGGAATTTTGGTTTCTCAGTTCATGACCCCTTTAAAAGAAATGTTACATTATTTCTTCACTCCTAATAAAAGTATCTGTTACCTTTTGTGTAGTGGGAAAATAATGTTAGTTTTACATTATTTTGGATAAAGTGTGTGGGTACGTAAAACATGGTAAAGGTGTTCAGTTTTAGTAGGTTATTAATGTACTGTAGACGTAGGTTTTCTACAGTAACATACCCCAACACTTGGCTTTAACATAGTTTATCTTCTTTTCTATAAATTACTGCATTCAGTTCAATTGTATTGCATTTACAGCAGTGTTTTTACCTATTTCATCAGCGTAAATGATATTTGCTTTGTTGTTTGGGGTGTTGCAGTTTTTGTAGTAGTGTTTTGTAGAGATTGACCGATAATTGGTTCGGATCGATTTCTGTTCTCCTCTTCTGTTATCAGTTCTTAAGTGTCAGTGTGGTACTCGTATAGATCACTTTATTTAATATATTGTTTGGATAAAATTATAAACGTATACATTTTTAAGTGTGTATCCTAATAATCAGACAGCAAAATTACAAAACAACGTAGCTTTAATATAATAGCATAACATGCATAGTTGTGTATTCTTAAAAAAAAAAGTAAATATGCTTTTTTTATTATCAAAGAGCAGAAATTTAAACTTTAAAATATTATTAGTAATATTTACAATATTTCTGCAATTTAGTTATCAGACACTTGAAAAAACAAAAATGATCTGTATCGGTCAATCTCCATTTTTTGGCATTGTTCTAATCGCTGTTATTTGCGTACCATTTAAGTTTTCTTACAGTTGCATCAATGAGCTGTCAAGTGTTTGTAGTCTTCTATTTTAATACCTTTAGCCTGAACTGACACTGATTTATCTAGTTATTATTTGACACTAGTTTTTTTTTTTTTAATTGATGTCTACAAGCAATGCCATCCATTCTATATTTTGCTGTGTCTGTCCTGTGTGTGTTTGCGTGCCTGTTGGTCTACCCTCAGTTTGTCAAATATTCAGAGTTTAAGTCAATTTCCCAACCCCTCTGTGTTTTCATGTTGCTTTCTCTCCTCTGTCCCTGAGCTGTGACCTCTGACCTTCAGGTAATGAGCATTGTGTGTTGAATGATTTCAGGATGAGCTGTCTGACCTCAGCCAGGGAGGCTCAAAGTCTGTCACTCCCATGTCCACCACGGCCTCAGATCTGGCCCTGGACTCGCACAGAGAGGATGGAGAGGGATTCTGGAAGAACACAGAGGTTCAGGCTGCTCCAGGGACCAGGAGCGTCTCTGCGGGTTAGACGCTCTTTTTACTGTGCATGGAAAGTGTTACAGCTTTAAATGACTCTAAAATTGCACGGTGTTACTCAAATGGCACTTCATTTAGTGTTGTACACTACCATTCAGAAGTTAAGGGTCGGTAAGATTGTTCTTATGCTCAGTGAGGCTATATTTATTTGATTAAAAATACATTAAAAACCGCAATATTGTGAAATATTTTTACAATTTAAAAGAACTGTTTTCTATTTAAATATATTTTAAAATGTAATTTATTCCTGTGATGTAAAGCTGAATTTCCAGCATCATTACTCCAGTCTTCAGTGTCACATGATCCTTCAGAAATTATTCTAATATACTGATTTTCTGCTAAAGAAACTATTATTATCAGTGTTGAAAATAGTTGTGCTGCTGTGGTAACTGTGATACTTTTTTTCAGGATTCTTTGATAAATAGAAAGTTCAAACAATGTATTGCAGTTGTCCATTTTGATTATTCAGGTCTGGCCGATAATGAGGAAAAGTCAGATGTTCAGGCCATTATTGAGTCCACACCAGAGCTGGACATGGACCTCGGATTTAAAGGTTCAAGGTAGCCAATGAGCCATCGATCAAACAGTGTCTAAAACATTTGAATGTCTATGATGCCCAGAAATATTTTTTAGGTTTAATCGGTTTCTCTAAACTGAACTGAGTAACTGCAGTTTTACCCTCTCATATTAAAGTGTCAAATGCTAAATCCAGTGCTGGCCTATAATTGAATGATGTAACATGCTCGTTGCTGATATGTTGAAGCACCCCGACCCGAGGGATTGAGAACATGGCGTTCGACCGAAATACAGAGTCTCTCTTTGAAGAAGTGTCGTCAGCAGGCACTGGTTTGATTGGAGATGTGGATGAAGGAGCAGATCTGTTGGGTACGTTTGTTGCGGTGTAATTTTCAGATATTATGAAGGGAAAAACATATTACACAAACATAAAACAGCTTTACTTGAGCTTGATTTTTATTAACATCAAAGGAATAGTTCATTCAAAAAATTGGCTGAGAATTTACTCGTCCTCGGGACATTCAAGATGTAGATGAGTTTGTTTCTTCATCAGAACAGTTTTGGAGAAATATAGCATTACATCACTTGCTCACCAATGGAGTGAATGGGTGCCGTCAGAATGAGAGACCAAACAGCTGATAAAAACATCGCAATAATCCACAAGTAATCCATGCCACTCCAGCCTATCAGTGAATGTCTAGTGAAGTGAAAAGTTACAAGATTGTAACAAATTCATCGTTAAGACTATTCTAACTTCAAACCGTTGCTTGCGGATAGAGTACCCTATCATTAATCAAAAATCATCCTGTCTGAATCAGGAGAGAAATATGCACAGATCAAGCACGGTTTACAAGCAAAAACAGTTCAAAACAAATATGTCTGTGGATTTTGATCGTTATTGTGGTATTTTGGCCACAAGTAATGGTTTAAAGTTAAAATGCCTTAATGATGAATTTGTTTCTTACAAACATGCAGCTTTTTACTTCATAAGATGTTAACTGATGGACTGGAGTGGTGTGGATGACGTGGATTATTGTGATGTTTTTATCAGCTGTTTGGACTCTCATTCTGATGGCACCCATTCACTGCAGAGGATCCATTGGTGAGCAAGTGATGAAATTATACATTTCTCCAAATCTGTTCTGATGAAGAAACAAACTCATCTACATCTTGGATGTTCTGAGGGTGAGCAAATTTTCAGCAAGTTTTTAGGTGAGCTATTCCTTTAAATATGTGTAATTTGCCATCATAATGAGATGAGCTCTGTGATGGTGGCACAGTCCCATGATGCTCTGTTTTGCATGTTGAACTGACCCAGATTTCTCTCTCCATGCCCTGTTGTCCTGTTCTTCCCTCTAACCGCAGTGGAGTACTCCGGTGTGTAAGACATCCTTGCTTCTTTCTGTCAGAGAATCTTTGCTTGTGTTTCAGTTAGCATCATTTTTGTATCTATATCTTTCATTTGTTCCTCATACTTCTCCATACTTTCCCCATTAACTGAATCATACAGTAGCAAATAGTGCCAACCGTATGGCAGCAACATGATATGAACATTTTCACCTACTGTAGCATGATGTAGCACAGAATGGGGTGATAGTGTTAGACTCAAGGCCAAACAGAATCTGCTGACATTTTCACATTTTCTGCACTGATTATGAGATTATGATATATCTCGTAATTGTGACCCACCCCCCACCCCCCCCCGCAAATTCTGACTTTATAACACACAATTTTGAGTTACTAAGTCAGAAATGTGAGATAAACTCGCAATTCTGAGAACATATATATATATTTTTCCCCTCAGAACTGGACTTTATAACTTGCAATTGCAAGTTTATATCTCACAATTGAGAAAAAAGTCAGAATTGTGAGATACAAACTCGCATTTGCGAAAAAAAGTAAAAAGTGCATAATATAAACTCGCTTTTGTGAAAAAGAAAGTCAGAATTGCGAGATACAAACTTGCATTTGCGAAAAAAAAGTAAAAAGTGCATGATATAAACTCACATTTGTGAAAAAGAAAGTCAGAATTGTGAGAAAAAAGTCAGAATTGCGAGATGCAAACTCGTAATTGCGAGAAAAAGTCAGTATTGCGAGAAAAGAAGTCAGAATTGCAAGATACAAACTCGTAATTGTGAGAAAAAGTCAGTATTGCGAGATACAAACTCGTAATTGCGAGAAAAAGTCAGTATTGCGAGAAAAGATGTCAGAATTGCGAGATACAAACTCATAATTGTGAGAAAAAGTCAGTATTGCGAGATACAAACTCGTAATTGCGAGAAAAAGTCAGTATTGCGAGAAAAGAATTCAGAATTGCAAGATACAAACTTCTAATTGCGAGAAAGTCAGTATTGCGAGATACAAACTCGTAATTGCAAGAAAAAGTCAGTATTGCGAGAAAAGAAGTCAGAATTGCGAGATACAAACTCGTAATTACGAGAAAAAGTCAGTATTGTGAGAAAAGAAGTCAGAATTGCGAGATACAAACTCGTAATTGCGAAAAAAGTCAAAAGTGCATGATATAAACTCGCATTTGTGAAAAAGTCAGAATTGCAAGAAAAAATTCAAAATTGTGAGAAAAAAGTCAGAATTGCGAGACACAAACTCGCATTTGCGAAAAAGTCAAAAGTGCATGATATAAACTCGCATTTGTGAAAAAGAAAGTCAGAATTGTGAGAATAAAGTCAGAATTTTGAGATATAAACTCGTAATTGTGAGAAAAAGTCAGTATTGCGAGATACAAACTCGCATTTGCTAGAGAAGTCAGAATTTTATCTTGCAATTCTGACTTTATTTCTCATAATTGCTAGTTTATGTCCTGCTGTTCTGACTTTATAACTCGCAATTGTGAGTTTATATCATGCAATTCTGAGAAAAAAAGTCAGAATTGCGAGATGTAAATTCGCAATTGTGAGAAAAAAAGTCAGAATTTTGAGATTAAAAACTCACAATCACCTTTTTAATTTTTTATTCAGTGGCAGAAACAGGCTGCCATATCTATCTGCTATGTTTTGAAATAGAAATTAATGTATATTCCAACAGTAATAGTACAATTGATAATCACTGAGAAAGATTTAATTCTAATATTTAATACAAGTAAAAAATGTTACAATCGACTCCATTGAGGTAATTGTTAAAAAATATATTATAACATGTAAAATTATAATCATCTAAATTAAAACACACTTCAAAGTAATATCATTTCTTTAATACTATCAAATTTCTTTTACATATAAAAATAGAGTGAAAACCGTAATAATGTGAAATATTATTGCAATTTCTAATAACTGTTTTGTTTTAGTATGTTTTAAAATGCAGTTTATTCCCGTGAATAAATGTATTTAATTTTGATGCATTTTTTCAGGATTCTTTGTTGAATAAAAAGTTCAAAAGAACAGCATTTAATAGTATAGTAACAGTAATATTGAGTGTCCCCAAAAATCCCCAAATCATTTTTATACCCCAAAATTACAGTTTTTATGTAATCTTTTTCATAAATTGATGCCTGGTTTCCCCTACTACTGTACACTCAATGTTAGTAGCTATCTTGTAGGTGACATTAGCCATAATATTAAGTGAACTTGGCACAGATTCTGTGTGGGTCTAGTTATAGCTAATCTGAATGTGCTTGATCTGTCAGTGGTCTCTCCACTCTTTCCAGC